TTCGGTCTTTAAATAAATTTCGAAAGTACTGAATTTGATTAATTTATTGAAGTATAAGTATAATAAAACTGACCCATAAGAGTAAAATCGTTAAATTTATTTATATTAATTTATTAACAAGGTTTAAAATTTCATGAAAATTCAAATGGGAGAAAACGCTACGTTATTGGTGGCGCCAGTGTGTGACGTCACGAGGTTGTTCCGATTTCGCGCGTTGCTGTTACATACTTTTACACGTACGACAGTTTCTCAGTTTTTTCGGAGAAAGATTTAAAAAAATGGCAAACATTTTAGAGCCAGGTTTTATAAAAGCTGACTCAACAAATTTGCCGAAAATTGACATATTTATGGTGTGTGAATTTATAAAAGAGAATGAAAACTTCAACTCTGCTGAGGTTAGAAATGCAAAAGCCGCAATGTAAGTCCATTATTTTGTTGAATATTTGCTATGTGATCATTATTTTCGATGTAAATTGAAAACGTTTTATCGAGAATTATATTAAACGATTATAGGTCATCACGTGAATCATACGGTGATCAAGCTATTGGCTATGTATGTCTCAAGCGGGACGAACTTACAAAAACGTGCATCGTAAAATGCAAAGTATGTCCTGAGCACCGTATTTATAATAAAGGATATTCGGTCACGCTGACTGTTAATGAAGAAAATGAAAAGGTGATGGACGTCGAATGTCATGACTGCGCAGCATCAAACGGTAAATGCATTAATCCAAAGTAAAATTTAATTGATCATGTGACGGCATGAGAGTACTTTTTTCACTGTTAATATTGTTTCAAATGTATAACTATTCTTATTCTCCTGATCAATAATATATTTCGTAGGGGGCTGTAAGCATGCAATTGCATTTCTCATGTGGATTCATAGACGGTCGGAACATCCTTCTGTCACAGAAGTAGAGTGTTATTGGCGTCGCTCTACTTTGGCTTCCATTCGCACGTCAAAAAAATTCATCGAATTGAATGAATTGAGTAAAACAGACACTGCGGGAGGATCTCTACCTGACAATTCGTCGTTTCGACAAGATGTATTGAACAGAGCAAAAGAAAAGCAGTTGGATAGTCAACTTTCCAGACACAATTTTGTATTGGAAAACCGAAAATTGATGTGTTTGTCAATACATCAATTATTAATGAATTTTTGTCAAACAGGATCTAGTTGCGCGGATATTTTTTTGGAATATGCTAGTAAAGCAATGTCTGAAGATTTGTGTCGCATGGCAGAAGAGTGTACCAGATCTCAGAGTGACACCTCTTGGCATGAGCTTCGTTATGGCAGAATTACAGCGTCAAGAATCTACGAAGCAGCACACTGCAAAACAGATGGATCATTTGTAAAACAAATTATTGGAGCATCAAAGACATTCAGTTCACAAGCAATGGAACGAGGGAAACGATTGGAGAAAGAGGTTTTACTTGAGGTAAAACAAAGGACAGGGCTGCGATTCCAAAATTGTGGTTTGCTCTTGTTACCATCATTTCCAGTATTAGGAGCATCGCCTGATGCCTTGGGCGACAATTTTGTTGTCGAAGTAAAGTGTCCATCATCCTCAAAAACGTTTCAGCAATTTTTGCCATCCGGAAAAATCAATAATAAATGTAAAGCGCAAATACATATGCAAATGTTTGCCTCTGGTAAAAGAAGAGGCCTCTTTTGCGTCGCAGATCCAAATTTTGAAGAATCTAGACAAGTAACAATTGTTTGGGAAAATTATAATGAGGATTTCATGAATTCCATAATAGAAAACGCTGTAGCTTTCTGGAAACGTTTTATTTTTCCAAAAATAATGTACACAAAAGTTTAAGAATCTCATATCAATATATTTATATGTATCTTTACAGAATAAACAAAATTACACAATGAAGATGTCACAAATGTTGTTTGTTTCTTTTCTTTCAGTTATGCAATTTGTCCTTTACTTTCGTATTATGATTTTCATGTTTTTATTATCGGAGTTTGCAAATTAATTAATGCCGATGCAATAAGTACTATCAAATCTGTATGACGCAGAAGGTTATGATGAATACATACATGCGGTTTCAGCATTTCATATTCCCTTAATCGTCTAATCACACGCTCAATATGTATACGTAAACTTGCAATGCGTTTAGTTTCTAAAACTTCGGCCTTAGAGGGTTTTACACCAGCAGTAACAGTGGGAGGACGAATAAGGATGCATTTTTTTTTATTGAGAAGACTCTGGATTTGTTTAAATCCTCGGTCAGCCATAACGCCACATCCATCCGGTAAGACATTTAAAAATCCAGATTGTTCAGTAAGTAGTGTATCACTGATTCTACCTCCGTAACCCGTAGAGACAAAATTGATAAACCCATCAGGTGTTGATGATATCAAATATTTTAGAGTATTGCATTTTTTGTATTCTGACCAAGTAAGAGCTTGATGTACAGAATTTGTTGGCTTTTGGATCTGTATTTCAAAACAATCAATTATCGATTGTACATTAGCATAATTAGCTCGAAATGGAATTGGCAAAGCTTTTCTTATACTCATTGGGTCTGGGAAGTATATCAGAGTTTTTAACATGTGAGCCAAACGCGGTACAGTGGAGTTGAATATGTTGCTGGCTTGAGCATGTGATATTCCAAATTGTTCCCCTAATCTATGAAAGGTGTCATTTATTTTTATTTTCATTAACGTTAATTTAATATGATCTGGCAGAATCTTAGTCTGTGAGTGTAAGAGGTCTACAATCCAGTACCATTCATTTAGAATACCGAGATAACTTTTAGTATTAGTACTAATAAAATAATTTGTAATCGAAAGTGCATTAGATTGCATTTGTTGTCGTTTATTCTTTTCAATCTCTTTTGCTTCATCTGAATAAGGCTCAAAATCGCTCGAAGTTGTACAATGTAAGGTAGAAGATGATACCAACATCGACGAAGCATCTGTACTTAACTGTTTGCTAGTACTTGGAATAATTTTTACAGATGGAGAAATACTTTGAAGCTTAATCGGGGAACAACTTGCATTAGACATGGGAACTGTAATATTGCAAGATACATATTTACTACGAACGTGTGGGCGTATGTTAACTTGTACTCCTTTATGATGAAAACTTCTATGGATTGTATCAGCATTAGGACATGTGCTGGCAAGACTATCTAAGTTTGTATTTTCTACTTCTACAGATTGAACCATTGTTTCCTAAAATCATTTTATGATATTAGTTTCAGCATTCATATTACTATACTTTAATAAAATTTGTTTTTTAATTCTTACACTTGCTATTGGAATATTCGGTGTTCTATCTTCCGTCTGTTCGATATCTGACAATGTGGACTTTTCAGCAATAGCCAAAATATCAGAAATCTCTGCTTTACGTCTTCGCTTTTCAGAAGCAAGACGAGGGGGATAATTTGCTGTTCGCTTCCTGTCAGGTTGACAAGTAAAAATGTGTGGCACAACTCCAGATTTCAGTTTTATTGGTCCACCCATTAAACAGAAGCGCACATAATTATCCATATCGTTTTTTAGCTGGAAAACAATATAATTTATATAAAGAAAATTATTTTTACAGAAAGTCATCCACGCAGCGCGTCCCTCGTTTTATCAAATACATTTAGGGACACTTATAGTTAAGCGTAACATTTTAGAAATATATTTTAATAATAATGGAATTAATAGTTAATAGTTATTTTTGCTACTTACGTCAAAATGATCCTCACAACAAAAGTAGTTTGATTGTGTTGGTTCATCAGGCCGTCGTGCTACCCGAAACCATAACCTCCGTTTGTTTTCGTCCCGTGGCACTGTCACGAAAACTTTACTAGGTGAATTTTTGCTTGTGTGTTTGCACATAGGCACAAAACACCACCGATAACCCGTCGGTTTGCTCATTTTTCTTAATACAAGTAAAAAGTAAGCGAATACAAGCGAACATGTATTACGTACCATGTATTACGCGTACTGTTGCTTTCGGCAACAACCCCGTGACGTCACGAGCGAGTTCGGGTAAACTCGGGTGATTCCGGAGCGTTTGAATCACAAGTCAGTGAATTGCATTTTTAATTTGCTATAACTCTATAAATATTGAGTATTTTGCGAAAAGAAAAAAAATATGTTAACAAATATGTGTATTCTATTCAATGGCAATGTTTTTCTAATACGACTTGAAGACCGAATTGGATAGTGGGCAGGGCAAAGACGACGATTTTCGATAATTTTTTTCTCGTTAACTATTGCGAAAATTGCAAAATGTTTCAGGACTTTTCTGTTCATCTCGATCCGTTCTACCTTCTCACGAATTCATGGACCAATGTTATAACTCACCCTG